TTTGGAGGGAGTTGAAAGTCGTTGTTGCCCAGCGACAGCCCCAAAACATCACTGCCCAAGAGGAGATCTGCATGGAGGAATGGGCCAAAATACCAGCAACAGTATGTGAAAACCTTGTGAAGACTTACAGAAAATGTTTGACCTCTGTCATTGCCAACAAAGGATACATGGCCCCATTCATTCTTTCCTTTACACGGATCAGTCGTCCTGGTCCCTTTGCAGAAAAACAGCCCCAAAGCATGATGTTCTTTTGATATTGACCAAATACTTATTTTCCACCATGATTTGCAAATAAATTCTTTAAAAATCAGACAATGTGATTTTCTGGATTTTCCCCCCCATTTTGTCTCTCATAGTTGAGGTATAGCTATGATGAAAATTACAGGCCTCTCTCATCTTTTTAAGTGGGAGAACTTGCACAATTGGTGGCTGACTAAATACTTTTTTGCCCCACTGTATATGATGTTATACAGAAAAGCTGATATATGCAGAGCAATATAAATTAGTACAGCTTGTCCACTACAATGGTCATCCTCAGAAAAATAAACTTCTGGAACATGGAATATGCCTTAGGATCTTCTGCCTCTCTTCAGTGTGTGAATTCCCTTGCTGTTTTCTAACTAGACGACCACTTCTAACATACTTTAGAATAACTAAACTCATTTTCAGGATAATTAAAAAATAAATTACTTGACAGGCATTTATTTATTTCAATTCCTGTTGGCAATCGTCTCTCACACATGCTTAAATTCAAGGCGAAGGGGACAAGGGAAAAATTGCAGGCAAGACCTGAGTCACCTTCAGCTTCACAGCAGGTCTCTTTTCCCTAAGCCCGAATCAAACGTTAAGTCTAAACCAGGCTTTAAGGGCAATATGTGCCTTTCATTCCTCTCACTGCTGCATTGGGAATATCTAGATAAAACTGTAAATAAGAAACAATGTTTTTCTACATTGTTTCCACTACATTTTAGAAAGTGAAAAACTGTCAATAAACACAAATTATATATTTATTTCCCTTAGATCTTAATCCACCTTCCTTCAACAAAAAGGGAAAAATGTATTTCTCTGCTCTCTGAAAACGGATGTGTTGACTTTTCTGACAGTGGAGTCCTAATTCTCATTCAAGAATAAATCCCACCAAATTCAAATGTAAGCTGTGATATTACATGCACACTTAGCTTACCTCAAAGAACCTGCTTTCAGACGAATATGCAAAGGATTGGTCTCACATCTTTAAAAAGTATTTACTTACTAAAATATTTTAGTTTTTAACATCTGCTTAAAAAAAATATTTTAGCAACTAAATCAAAAGTATTGTAACAATACTCTTGATTGTTACAATGTCACACATTAATCATTTTATGTTTTGATCATTAACACAATATAATTTTGCCATACTAAACAAGGCCAAAAATTCATCTACTACCTGTCTCCAATTATAGTTAGATAAAAAAAATTCAGGAAAAGCAACTTCTTTTTTTTTAAAATCCCAGTACCTGTTATAAGAAAGTGTATTGCCCATGAATATACAGTGGTGCCTCTGGTCGCGGACCGAATTGGTCATGAACCGAATCAAATTTTCCCATAAGGTTCAATGTAATCCGTTCTGACCCCTCCGAATTTGGTCGCCAACTGATTTTTGATCGCGTCCCAAATCAAATTTC